TCAAAACATTGAAGCTATTTTTGGTATCGACACTCCCCTGAGTATCGATACCCAAGGGTCAGTATCGATATTGTTGGTATAAATCGATACCATCACTAATTTTTGGGAAATTTTGTTCGTCTGGTTCGGGGGTTCAGGCTTGGATGTTTCGAGTTTATATAAGTTCCAAGTATCTGATACAAGTGAAATTCATCAAGTTAACTAAATTCTCACCGGGAAACCAAGTAAGTTAGGATGACATAAAATTAGCCTTTGTGTGACACCTGGGAAACAGTTAGGACACCTTAGTTACTCTTACATTATGACGATTGTTCTCTGTTTGTGAAATATCTGATATATTGTTTGACTTGGTACGCATCTGATGCATGTAAATTTTGGATCGTATCAGTACGCATCTGATGCACGTAAATTTTAGATCGTAACCCATGCTCGAATAGGTCTAAGATGTGAACCATCGATGCACGTAAATTTCGATCCTCACCCCGACCTCTCGAGTATCTAAGATAGACTAGGGCTATAAGTTTCGATGCACGTAAATTCTGGTTCTTACCCTGAATCTATCTCGTTCTAGATAAGCTAGTGTGTCGTTTGAGATGCACATAAATTCCTCCAATCACACCACTTGACCTATCTCATGTTTGTTATGTACTTTTGCATGTTTATGACTTTGCACACCAGAATGTTCATGTAATGGATGCATGTAGTATTGCATAGTTATTTCGTGACACTGAGCTTATAAGATCAACATATGGAATGTGTTTCTGTGCGCATGTTAATAGGAGATCGTTGAGGTGCCTATCATATCAGTATATTCCAGACCAAACGATTTGCATAATATGTCTTGAGTATATTTAGAGGGCATGTATTCCATATGGACCTTATATTATTCGAATCATAACTCTATTTCTATTTAAATTATATGGTCGTATATATACGTATTGAAGAGACTCTTATATTTTGTAAACTTTGATTTAAATTTCGTTGATATGATGATTAATGATTCAATATTTATAAGTGTTTTTGAAAAGAAATTTCCAGGTTAACCATTTCGATGGTTCCGTGTAGTATCGTAATTCATGGATCATACTTATATGCTGAAAAAACACTAAATACTGAAATCTACCATGAACATACTTATATGATTCATAACTCATACAAGCTAACAAACTCGCCTAATGATCTACATGTGGTAGATTTGAGTTACAAGTGTGTTACCTGGACTACTAAGATGTTGGAAATGCTCAAAGCTTAATCAAGAGTCAACTTTTCCTTTCCTTTGCTTTTTGATCTTTCTCCAACCTCTTTCACTAACAAAGATTAAGGAATGAGTTACCAACTGATTTAATAATTCAGCTCAGTTGGTAGAGCACAAGGTTCTTAAACTTGGGGTCGTGGGATCGAGTCCCACGGAGGGCATTTCATAATTCGGAGGTCTCTTACAGAAGCTGCTTTCAACCTGGTGTTGGGGGCAGCCTACTATCTTACCTCCCCCTTACCCACCTTACCCTATTACATATGGGAATAAGGGTCAGCTAATCTTTTTTTACCAACTGATTTAAGAAGTTAAAAGGGAGTTAATAAGACTTTCTAAGGCTGAAATCCATAAAAAAAACGGACAAAATAAATAAGTTTTTTAAACCCTCACTAAACCCACTTATGTCAACCATGGTCAAAACTTGATGTTGAGGGATTAAAAGGAACCTTGGGAAGAGAGGGTTAAGGTTCTTACTTGGAGGTTGCTGAGCAAGGTTTGAAATGCTAAATTTACACTTTTTTATTGAGATGCTAAGGGAGGCAAGGAGTTTGAAAGGGGGGAAGAAAAAGACAAAAAGTATGAAGAAAATGAGATATGAGGAGTTGTCAGACGTGATAACATCAATTCATAGTGGGGATTCAACTTTGAAACTAAAATTGGTCTAATTTTTTCCTTGGTACTCCCAATTTTAGTCACAACTTAAAAATACATTTTTTTTATCATCTATTGGACACAAACTAAGCTCAAACCAACATCCATTTTTACCAATCTTCCCTACAAGGTTAGAGAATTTATCCAAAACACTTTCGGTTTGGATCAAAACTATTAACCGGAGATTCGGGACGTTACATATTTAGGAATCCCATATACTTGTGCATTATCTTAATGCAACGATGTTGTTCATCGAGGATCAATATATGATTTTATCTTACGAGTGGATGAACTTCTAAAACTTTAAGAAGGATTGAATTTATAAAATTCTAGAGGACATAAATAGATTATCAATAGAAAATATATAAAAAATAATATATATGATAATTTAAATTTTTTTTAGGGATTAGTCGTTCTATGCTGATCATCCTATGGGGTAGTGACTCCAACTTGGAATAGAAACCATCTCATTTCCAGGGGAAACAGAACTGGACCATGAGCCCCTTGAATATATGATGGGTGTGCGCCTCTATATTGTTCAGTTATGGGGACTGAAGGATAATGAAATTGATGTTCCAGCTGGTTCAGGATGATTTTACAAGTAATATCAAATTTGCAGTGCCCCTTTTTCAAATACATGAAAATCTCTAAAAAATAATACTTTTAAGATCCGAAATAATTATTATTTTATCAAAGTTATTAATTTATCAGAAAAACAATACATGTCGGACAGTTTAATATGCAGAGATAAAGTCAGAAATTAAATTTAGAGAACAAAATATAATTAAACATTAAAAATAAATGGGGGACAATAATGAATATTTTACAATTATATCACTTATAACATCTCTTTTATCTTTACAAGTAGTTTGATAGGGGTGATTATGTATTTAATCATTCATCTACTTTTATAGTTATGATTTGTTCATCCAATTATTTCTTCTAAAATCATAGTTAATGCTAGGGGTGTAAACGAGCCGAGTCGAGCTCGAGTATTGCTGAGCTCGATTTGACTCGAAAACTCTGAAATTGAGCTCGACTCGACTCGAAAACTCGCGAGCTTAAAATTTTCAAGCTCGACTCGAATTCGAAATCATGAACTGAAGCTCGTGAGCAGCTCGAAAAGGCTCGAAATGAAGAAAAAAATTCTTAAACTTAACTCGATTAAAGCCTCAAACTCGAATCTGAACCTTAAATGCATGAAAATCTTAATGTATTATCTTTAAAAAAATTAATACATAAATATTAATATTTTTAATAATTTTTTAAAAAAATATATAATCTTATATATTATATTTTCGAGCTGCTCACGAGCTTTTCGAGTCGAGTATCAAGTAGCTCGTTTCGGCTCGTTAAGAATTCGAGTCGAGCTCGAGCTCGAGTCGATTCCATTCGATCTGAGTATTTATCGAGCCTTGATCGAGTCGATCTCGAGTAGCTCACGATCTGTCTCGTCTCATTTACAGCCCTAGCTAATGCTATGTTTTTTTTCATTTTGATTTCCCGCTAAATACTGTTTAAAAATAAATAGAATTGTTGACATTAAGATTTTTTTTTATTTTTTCAATGATGACGTGATATTACTTGATGACACGTCAATATTATTCTTAATTTTTTTAACAACATATGACTAGGAGTAGTTGTCGAGCTAGTTGATCATGAGTTGTCAGTGATCAACTTGTGCTCGTTAAAAAGTTTTGTTGCTCGACTCGTTGCTCGTTAAGCTAGTTAAAATTTTGCTTAACTTATGCTCGTTAAGAAAACTTGTTGCTCGACTCATTGCTCGTTAAGTTCGATGCTCATTGCTCGCCTCATTGTTCGTTAAGCTCACCGAAATTTTTACCTTATTTTCTTAACTAAGGTAAATTCTACTAATATAATATATAACTTAATATAAACATAAATTAAAAAATTTAACCAAAAAAAAGAGTGTATGAAATATCTTTAAAGTCTAAACTCCAAAGTAACAATCCACAAATACATTAAAATAATAAATAAGGTTCGATTTTTGAGTATATGAAATAATTTTTTAAGATAACTATTAAAGAATTATATATAAAAAAAATTTACAAGCTGCTCGCGAACTTATCGAATCGAGTTGGATTTTGCTCGACTCAACTCGTTAAGGTCTCGAGTCGAGCTTGAGTTCGAATCGAGTCAACCTGAATCAAGTTTTTATCAAATTTCGATCGACTCAAATTTAAACTACTCACGACTGTTCAACTCATTATGCACTCTAACAGATGACCAAAATATAATATCATATATATATATATTTTAAAATAAATAGGTAACTACATAATTTACCCAATAATAAAATAAATAAATATTAAAAAATCGAATTTCAATGAAGTTTAGCAAACAAGTTTTATCCATGGGGAAGACAGATGTCGAAGGCTTAATCATATATATATATATGTTTGAAAATCTCCCCAGACACGTAGTTGTTTGTTTTCAATCTCTTCCCTTGGGATGACAAACGGGTAGGGTGGATATAGATATTTCTTCTCTTATTTTTGTATTTATTTAATATTTTTATATTATTATTTATCAACTATTAATATTAGATAAAAATTTTAAATTTATATCCGTTTACGTAGATATATTCCCAAATTTATCTCTATACTCACTATCTAATTGATATTCACCACCCATCTTATACATGTTTATATCTACCATTACTCTTCAATTTGAGATAAACAAAATGACGGTCTTCAATTTTAAAAATATATATATATTAATATTTGGTTAAATTACAAATTATGTCTAATAAAATCTTAAAATTTATAAAATAATCTATAAAATTATATCTAAATTTATATGGTAGATAGTTAGTAGGTAGGCAGACGTAAAACAAATATAAGACGAGTGGATACAAAATGAAGAAGATCTTAAACTTATTACTTACTCATCACCCATGACGAATATGACTTTTTATGTCCAGACTCACTCGTTACCTACTAAACTTATATTAACCCGCACCCTAATTAAATTAATACGGTACAAAATCTACAAAAAATTATATCTATCTATCCTCCCTACCTACTCCTACCATGTGTCAACTCCTCCATAATCTTCAAACCTTTCTAGCTTCTCCTACGATATATCTTACCCATTTTTATACTGTTTCTTCTTTTCTTCCTTTTCTCTTTAATTCTATGATTAAGACTCTGCTTCTCCGTTCTTCTTTTTGCTTTTCTCGCCGTCATAACTTCTCTTTCTTCTTAACAAGATTCCCATATCCCATCACTCGCTTTCCTTCACTTTCTTTTCCTTTCTCGAGCGTTTCCCCTCCGCCCACTCTCTCCTGCAACTGCAAGGTTTTCTCCATGGCTGAACGGATCTCCACTTCAAGCTCACACTCCCATAAGTATACTAATCGTCTCGCATCGGAGCACAGTCCTTATCTTCTTCAGCATGCTCATAATCCGGTTATTCTATCATTTTTTCTATTTTGGGATATATGAGAGGATGATGGGTGTTTTTTTTTTAATAATTCAGCTCAGTGGAACCTAATTAATGTTTGATTTTTATGGAAATTGAACAAAAAAATAGACCATTTCAATAAGTTAAGACTTTTTCGTAGATTACCCTTTTATGTTATTTATATATGGGTTGCAAATTTTGATTTTTAAAGGTTGATTGGTATCCTTGGGGAGAAGAAGCTTTTGCAGAAGCGAGAAAGAGAGACGTGCCAATTTTCTTATCAAGTATAATATATTCTTACTTATTTTCATTTGGATAATTTACAACTTGTTACTAATTTTAGTCATTTTTATGGTGGTCTTCTCTTTGAAGTTGGATATAGTACCTGCCACTGGTAAAAGTCTTTACTCATTAGTGCAAATCAACATCTGGACTACCTAACTATTGAATCTAAATAGTGAAATGAGGGCTGAATGATTCGTTTCATTTTCGAAGGTGTCATGTGATGGAGGTGGAGTCTTTTGAAAATGAAGAGGGGGCAAAGTTGTTGAATGATTGGTTTGTCGGTATTAAGGTGAGTAGATTTAGTTTATTTATTGTACATCTTTTGAATATATAATGCTCGACTCTGGCTTGGTAAGTTATTAACTGACCTAAGGGTCCTTAAAGAGTTCGATCTCATATACTCTTCTAACATTTACAGGTGGATCGAGAAGAAAGACCAGATGTTGATAAGGTAAATGAGTTAGCATGAATCGTTTTAGCTCTTTTGTGCAGTTTCTCTGTTTGATTGTGATTATAGAGCATTATCTAGTAAGACAAGTGGTTACATGGTTCAGACACAATGAAAATCATTGTAAAAATGATTAGATTCAGTGTACCAGCGAGGCACTTGTATGCTTAAGCTTATAGTAGTTTAAAAATGTCAAATATGGCAATCTATTATTGATATCAAGTCACTAGATAATTTAATAATTTGAATGTTAAGCTTTGAACTATCTAGTTTGTTTCCAATGGAACAGAAATTTTACTTAAGCTTTGAACTATCTAGTTTGTTTTCAATGGAACGGGAATTTTACTTTTTGTTTAGGAAAAAGGAAGCATCATTCTTCTAAAATCATCATCCACTGATTCAAATATACTGTCCTCACAGAATAATTTTGTTTTTCTAGGTGTACATGACTTATGTGCAGGCTTTGTATGGTGGTGGAGGGTGGCCACTATCGGTCTTCCTTTCACCTGATTTAAAACCCTTAATGGGTGGAACCTACTTTCCTCCCGAGGATAAGTATGGAAGGCCTGGATTTAAGACCATTCTTAGGTTAGCATATTTCTTCCCGAAACCTTTGTTTTTGTTTTCCTTTACCTTCTTAATTTTTGTCTATTACTATTTTGTTGGATTGTAAGCACTGATGGGTGACTCTCTGGATGTAGTGTTAACTTTTGAGTTCAAAACATCTCCTCTCGATCTCATATTGCTTCAATAATTCATATGCACGTTAGATTTGCACTTTGCTCGATTTATTTGTCCCCACCGTCACCCTTTCCTTCTGCCATTTCAGAAAGGTGAAGGATGCTTGGGATAGTAAAAAGGATGTGCTCGTTAAGAGTGGAGCCTTTGCTATTGAACAGCTATCAGAAGCATTGTCAGCTAGTGCTGATTCAAACCAATTGCCTGATGGGCTTCCACAAAACGCATTACACTTATGTGCAGAGCAGGTATGTATCTATCTTTTCAGAACTTTATATGACCTATTCATGAACAATCATATCTCGATAGAAGTAATATGGCCTGGGTATAATTTAAATATCGAATTCTGTTGAAGTGCTTCCATGGTCGTTTCTTCTTTCATCTTTTCTGTGTGTTTCCGGCAATGTTGTATACAGAAAAGGAAAACATTCATCCCCTCATGATCAATATTAGTATGTTCCAAATAGATAAATGTTTCACTTTCCCAGAGTTATTTACTTTTTCTTTTCTTTTCAGCTGTCCAAAAGATACGATTCAAGGTTTGGTGGGTTCGGATCTGCTCCCAAGTTTCCTAGACCAGTTGAGATCCAATTGATGATCTATTGGTCCAAAATATTAGAGGAAAGCGGAAAACCTGGTGAAGCCAAAGAGAATCTTAAAATGGTTTTCTTTAGTTTGCAATGCATGGCAAGAGGAGGTATGCATGACCACATTGGAGGTGGCTTTCAGTCTTTCACAGATATAGTGTGGATGAATGCTGGCACGGTCAGTTTCTTTCTTATTTTATTGTTTTTTTCTTCCCCCCTTTTTTTTCTTTTAGTGTGTTCTAGTAGTTGAAAAGACTGTCGCGTACAGTACTATATTTCTAATGATTTCCAGATGTTAACACGAATGATTCAAAGTATAATTAATTTTAACCATATGTGGATTTTGGTCTTCCTTTTCTGGCAACTTAAATTTTGTTAAAAAAAATGTTTTCATTCTGTAAGTTGTCATGATGAACAGCATTATAACTTTAACTTTTCTTGCAGTTCCTCATTTTGAGAAAATGTTGTACGACCAAGGGCAACTTGCCAATGTTTACTTGGATGCTTTTTCCATCTCTGGAGATGTATTATATTCATTTATGTCTAGTGATATTCTTGATTATTTGAGGAGAGATATGATTGGTTCAGAAGGTGGAATCTTTTCAGCAGAGGATGCTGATAGTGCTGAATTTGAAGGTGCAACCAGAAAAAAGGAGGGAGCCTTCTATATATGGACAAGTGAAGAGGTTGTTTTCCATAAAGTTTGACCAAGCATTTGCATATTTCATTACATTAGGATTCTTGTGCTAATAATGGGAGAAGGATACATTATTAAGCATGGTTGCATTATGATGAGAATTTTCATTATGTTAGGATCTTGTGCCTCAGTATTGGGAAAAAGAAGATTTTATTGTCTCAATGACTAGAATTGTTCTTTACATGGCTTAATGCATTTGCCTATGTTTCTGAACTACATTGTTGAGTGAAGGATGATCATTATTGTTGCTACAAATGTCAAATGAGCGTATTCATAGTGTTCCTTTTTTGAGCTGTGTATGCAAGTTGTTCATGCAGTTGATTATTCATGATGCTTAATATTGGGTAATGGGTACTTATCTGCAGGGACGAAGCCAGGAATTTAGCATAGGAGGGGCTGAGATAAAATTATAAAGTTTCAGAGGGGCCAAAGCTAAAAAAAGTATTTTAAAAGGGCTAAAATTAAATAATTAATCTTTAGGAGGGGTCAAAAGTACAAATTTTCCATTTAGCTAAAGGATCAAAATTTTTATATTAAAAGTTTAACATTAAGGTTGAACCAAAAAAAGGAAATTTTCCATTAATCAAGGGAGGGTCAAGTCCCCTACCTGCCCCCCTTAGCTTTTTCTCTGCTTGTCCCTATTATGAGATAAAGATAATGATAATTGTAATTGTCTGTCTGTTAAGCCTCGCCTCTGCTGATCCCTATTATGAGATAGTGATCATTGTAATTGCTAGTTCCCTTTCTTATGATAAGTTTCTGAAAAATATGCTTAAATCTTCTTGTTTTAGATCGACGGCATTCTTGGAGAGCATGCCAGCCTTTTTAAGGAACACTACTATGTAAAGCCCTTGGGAAACTGTGATCTTTCTAGCATGAGTGACCCGCACAATGAATTCAAGGGGAGTAATGTGCTTATTGAAAGAAATGATTCTTCAGAACTTGCATCAAAACTTGGCATGCCAATCCAGGAGTATCTGGCTATTCTAGGTGAATTCAAAAAGAAGCTTTTTGATGTAAGGGCAAAAAGACCTAGGCCACATTTGGATGACAAGGTAAATATCTGATGAACTAATAGTAGGTGACTTATTTTTTTCTTACTGATGATAAACACTTACATCAAGTGCTTACTAGGTGATTGTATCTTGGAATGGACTTGCAATTTCATCTTTTGCAAGAGCATCTAAAATCCTCAAGGCTGAACCTCAGGGCACAAATTTCAACTTCCCTGTTGTTGGCTGTGATGTAAGACTTCAACCTTCTTCTCTCAAGGAAATGGGTTGATTTATCATGGTTTGTTTAATTGAAAAGGATGGCTTTATCTATATGCTCATGGCTTGATTATGCTTGTTTATTCCACCAGTTTATAGTTCTCAAAACCTGGCCAAGAATGAAGAGTCCAATCACATGATGTATATATTAGATTTTAAACAATGTTTAGAGAATCTAGGTTGCCATTTATTTAGGTGAGTATAATTAGTGTGGCTGGCTTTGTTTGCAGTACGACTGATGTAAGATCTTTAACTATCCTTAAATTTTGAATTCTATTTGTATTAATTATATTTCAGCCAGTTCTCTAGGTCAATATGACGTTAAACAGTTTTTTAACTATCCTTAAATTTTGAATTCTATTTGTATTACCGCCTACTGATTAGTGAGTTCATCTGTTTCTAGAAGCTGCTTTTATGACTCGTGCCAAGCCAAAAAGTAATGTCGAGTTCTCTTGAGTGGTAGCTTTGAGTCTTGAAGATCCTAATAATCTAACTATATTCTTAAGTTATTTCTGAACTCCTTGAGTGACGATCATGTTGATGGCGGCAGCAGTATTGTCCTGCTATTTATACGCTTTTGTTCTTGCTGGGTTGCTTATTTGATTTATTTTTTTTCTGTTTACTGTCCCAGCCCAAGGAGTACATGGAAGTTGCAGAAAAGGCGGCACATTTTATTAGAAGACATCTGTACAATGAACAAACGCGCAGGCTTCAGCATAGCTTTAGGAATGGCCCATCGAAAGCACCTGGGTTTTTAGACGATTACGCGTTCTTGATTTCAGGGTTGCTGGATCTTTATGAGTTTGGTGGTAGCACAAACTGGCTAGTTTGGGCAACTGAACTCCAGGATATGCAGGCAAGAGCTATCTATGATCTTTTTTCTATTAAGATCCGTTTCCCATCTTTCCGTTGTAATTCTTCTAGCTTACTTCCCAAATTTGTGGTCCAGGATGAGTTATTTCTCGATAGAGAAGGTGGAGCCTATTTTAACACTCCAGGAGAAGACCCTTCAGTGCTTCTACGTGTAAAGGAAGATCATGACGGGGCAGAACCATCGGGAAATTCGGTCTCTGCAATCAGTCTTGTGAGATTGGCCTCCATGGTTTCTGGCAGTAAATCTGATCACTACAGGCAGAATGCGGAGCATCTTCTGGTTTGTCCTCTCTTCATAGGAGATTGATTTCCTTGAACCAAACTCGCTTTCCTCGAATTGTGTCTAGGATTTTAAACAGTGTATGTTTTGCAGGCTGTTTTCGAGTCTAGATTGAAGGAAACGGCAATGGCAGTGCCACTTATGTGCTGTGCGGCCGCTATGCTGACCGTTCCTTCCAGGAAGCAAGTTGTCTTGGTTGGCCATAAGTTTTCTGAAGAGTTCGGAAACATGCTTGCAGCTGCTCACGCCTTATATGACCTGAATAAAACAGTAAGAAGACGAGACAAAAATAACATCTTAATCTCTATCTTGTTGTCGATAACATCTAAACTCGACACGGTTGTCATTCGATGTAACATGTAATTCATATAGATCCAACAAACACAGCAGAGATGGGATTTTGGGAAGCGAATAACAACAAAGTTGCCCTCATGGCTAGAAATAATTTTGCAGCCGACAAGGTGGTTGCTCGTATGCCAAAACTTCATTTGCAGTCCCCCGGTAAGCAGCCCTAAATCCCTACAAGATCTGCTCTCTAAAAACTCTTCAGCGCGGTTGGATGTATGAGTTAGTCAAGATTCGGAATCTGCTCCACTTTTGTTATACCTTTAGTTAGTAGTGTATGAAAAACAATATATCATGTAGTACAGTCCCTTATACAATGAACCAATAAAATGCTTTCATAGAATACTTGTTTCGTATTAATTATATTTCATTCTATGTATGAGAAGAAAATATGATGGATAATGATATTTATTACCATTTAAAATGTTCTTTTTTTCAACTAAATGAATGTTGATCTGTGACATCAACTTAATCAAATATGCTTCAATTTGCTACACATGCATATTCGACCAAATCCTTGCTCATGGTCGATGCATCCACATGTTGCATATATATTATGCGTGACACACTGCCAAAGTACCCCACGTACTGCATAAGGTCATACTCCGGGTGTTGAAGCTGGAAGCTACTACTTTTAATTTGCAAAATTGGCGTAGTCAAGGTATATGGTCGGGTGATCAAGCCTTGAAGCTGCAATTTAGTTTATTTTATACCGTGTTGCCTCTGTTCCAAGTTCACATTTCATGCATGATGTCAGATTATTGCATATGTGGCCATGTTCAATTATGAGCACGTTCCATCAGTTCATAATATGGTGAGTGGCAGAATGTTTCTTGAGACGAGGTAATTGCTAGGAAAGTCAAAACAAAGTTAGGGTAACCAGCGTGAGTCAAATTTTATTCGAAAAAATCAATATTTTCAATTATATTTATAATTTTATAAATTTGATTTGACTTGAAAAAAAATTTGAAATCCAAGTCTAATTATAAAATAAATCCCTATTGGTAACTTGAATAATTTTTAGAACTTTTAATAATTAATTAATTAATTTTTAAATTTAAGTTGAGTTTCATAGTTTTGTAGTATGGTATATGTATATCACATGAGATATATATATATATATATATATATATATATATATATATATATATATATATATATATTATAAAATTATTTAAATTGAATCAAATAGTACGATAATATTATAAATATTTATTATTAAATTTAAACAAAAAGTCAAATGACATGATTCGATTTAAATTTTATAAACTTGACTCGATTTGAAAACTTTTCAATAAGTCTCGTTAACTCGAATAATTTTAAAAAATGACTCAATCGAATGCTTACCTCAAGAGGTGCCGAAAGAAAGCTCTCCGATGTTGAAAAATGAGCAGACTGCTAACATGAACAATTATACAAACAAAAGGGAATGGGGAAATAAACAAAAATTAGAAAGGTGGATTCAAAGGCAAACAAGTTCAGATGTGGTGAAACATTATGTCTAGATCTCACTATGCTGATGGACTTCAAATTTCAGTAGCATTGATTAAGGCAAGCAGGGCGAAATTTATATTGGTTTTTGTTTTCACATTAGGTGTGTCTCCTCTCCTTCCTCCGCTGCCTCTGTTTTACTAAAGAAGCCCTTTGCAAGTAAAGTATGTAAAATCTACAAATACTCTGGTCTTAATACTAATTTTAAATTAATAGAAAAAAAATACGAGCAAAAGGCCCGCTGTAATAATTAACATGTACCATTTGGATATCTAAACGTGTTGGGATTCTCGTCGTCTCTCTCCAGGTAGTCCCTCGTGATCAGATCTTCCATCCTTTTCTTTATGGCTTTAATACCAGGCTGCAAACATACATTATCACCCCCGTCAGTGCTTTTGTAACCCCCCCCCCCCACCCCTCCAAAAAAAAACCATATCCATGTGATCTGATGTCTCTCTCTTAACTACATGCACAAAGGGTTGGCGTGTATTAATTTACCTTGAACATGCGACTCAACAGCTCGACATACTCCGAAACCAATTGTTGGTGCCCCAAACCTTCCTGCTCTTCATTATGTGTACAATTGCAGCATCAATAGCATAACGCCGATCTTTATGAACATCTTCTACAACTTTCTTCCTTTCATCCACCGGAGGGAGAGGAATCTATGTAAAAGATGATTCAAAAGTTAAAAATTCTCTCATCCCAATAGATACTAAAAGCAATAACCACAAGAGAGAGAAAGAGGAATGCCAGAACCGTCCCGGACCTTAATGCTCCTCAACTTGTAGGTAAACTTAGAGTTGAACTCAAAGGAGTCGCTCTGGGAGATGGTTTTTGTGTTTGGCTCTTTACTTAGAATCTTATACTTTGCACTTGACAGTGAATATAGTAATCTGGCCAAGTCTTCGTGAGTCAAGTTCAACTGAGCCATTATCTCCGAATAGCTCAGCTGATCAGAAGTATCGAAAAGCAGGAGGACTGCAGCCTGTTTACATAGGCTACTGGAAGTTAGATTCGAGAATCAATGAACAATACCAGAACTAAGCAAGAGACGGACATAAATCTAAGCGGAACCAGCGTTTTAATATAGAAGTTCCATAGTTTATTTATTCTGTTCACCTGATAAGTCGAAACAACCAGTTCAATAGTTTTCAGATCAAAATTTCCACTAATGTGGCAAGTCCCTAGCGAGTATATCCATGTAAGCTTTCTGTGTTTTGTTTTTGTTTCGTAGAATCCTTTGAAAACTTCCCACACTTGACCTGAAATAATAATATTAAGTACAAATAATCTTTCTGAAAACATCATAGTGAAAGATTTAATACTTCCATCACCATCATGTGACATATCATGGTGTGAATATCCAGGTTGGTCTCCAGTGTCCCTTGTGTTGTACATTGAGTATTATTTACTACTTCAATGGAAAAAAGGTATAGGCTGTGGCAAGCGTAACAGTAATTGAGTTGTAAATATATTTATTCTATGAAATATAATAAAATGATTGCACATAAAAAAAAAGTCATTATCATCTCAGCAGGTAGATTGAGGTCAACGATTTATAACTTGGCCAGAATCCCGTTGTGAGAACAGTAACTGTTAAATAGATCCCAGGATGTGCAGCTGAGTTCCTCCTTAGATAGTCCTCAAAGCTGGCCTGGTTTTCCCTTGCCAATGTCAGATCTGTCACCTGTTAGTAAGAAGTTTCACCAAAATTAAAACCATAATTAGTGTGGACAAACAAACTAGCGAAACACAGCCCAACTCACCATGCCCTCCATCTTTGAGGTGAACTGTCCACCACAACGCTGCTTCAGCTTAGTAAGAATACTCCTTCCATGATCGTCATTAGCACTGCGGTCAAATAGCAATCGACGAGCAAGCTTCTTGCTGTTAGTGTATCCGCACTATTAAGTTAGGATCAAAATATACCATGTCGAGAAACTTAATTGACAATAATAAATAAATAAATAGTAGCCTCACCTGTAAAACTCAGCAAAGAGGTCTTTGTCACTAATATAGGCAAGCAGCTTAACCACCTGCAGAAACCAAAAAAGCAGTTCAGAATCAATTACAGAAGAGATAATAAATTTAGCATCAAATGATGGATCACAAGTGTTCCTTCAATTGCTTCATCATTTTACTTCTCACTTCCACCCTTCTTGAGGATATTATCACAGAATGTTGCCAAAAGCTCGGCACTTGAACTTCCGGTAACAGTTTTTTTGCAGAATACCTCAAAGGCCTCTTTCAAAGCCTAATGGAACATTTCAACAAAGTCTGTTTTAGGTGAAATAATTGAATAAGATCCATATTAAAACTCTAGTCATTACAACACAAACCTTGTGGAACAGAGAATGGTTTTGAAAACATTCGGTCACATATGTCATATACTTATCATGCATCTTGATTATTTTCCTTATAAGGGCCTGATGATAACAACATTACAAGATTTTCAGCATCCATAATGTTCTCAAGAATTCATAACCGTGAAAGTTGGGATATTTACCTGTTCCTGCACACCTGGAGCATTTGAGGCCTATGGAAATGAGTGAATATCAGCACTTAGAACCAGAAGGTGAAAATTAGAAACAATAAATTATGCAGAATATCATCTATTTTCATATAAATGGTTGGGAAAATCATACTCTGCAGTGGTTGGCAGTTGGCACACCAAAGGCATATCAAACTTAGCAGTAACAGGAACTTAACAAGTAGAACAATAAATAAAGATTTAGGTGCCCTTTTCGGTGTATTTTGGTTTTTCTTGACCCGTGTGCATCATCCAACTAGCTTTTGGTTTATCAATAATAATAAATAAACAATGTTGTGCTGGCCTGAAATGTTTATATACGACTTGGCAGCCATTCTGTTAATTAAAAGAAAAAACTTTCATCCCCTCATAAAAATTACTATGTAGAAAGAAACTTCAACTGTGGTGCAGAAGAAAATAGATAAAAGTATCCACCATTCAAGTACAATTATAATTGTTTCCTGTCATAACCGCTTTCCGGCGATGCGACGAGTCTCGATTGATTTTGTGAAAACCCGATTTTGTAAAAGAAATATTTCGGAATCGCCATCGACCTTTTGAGCTAGGTAGGTCGAACACCTAAAAATGTCTTTTAAAAACAATTTTAAGAAAAATCATTTTAAGACAAAAGCTGGTATGCGTTTACCAAAGATTCGATGAAAACGGGTTCGGGGATCGATTACGTGTGGGGAATGATAAGCACCCTACAACGCCCAAAATTGGTACCTATTGATTATATATTGTCTCTAATTAGTATAAATCTAAGAATTCAAATATATATTTAAATCACGATTACATTATTCCGAGTTAAACCATACAATTTTATAGGACAAAAATTCTAAGGAAAAATAAAAAATATTCTCATATTTCCAATTGAAGAGAAAATACTCCCTAAAATGATTTAGGACGAATATTCCTCTTTCCAATTGAAATAAAAAGAATATAATAATTTTTCCTAAGAATTTAATATTAAAATAATTTTTATTCTACCAAAAAAAAAGAAATTAAACCTATCATACTTATATCAGCATGTGACAAAGACTTTTATTCTAAACAATTAATATTTGAAATAATATACATTACAAACTGTACATATATTAATATGTAATTCACAACCGGGACTTAAATATAAAAAAAAATGAAAACATAACGTACTAAATTATAAAAAAGGAATTAGCTATACATATTAAACTACTAAATCACGTTAAAAAGATCTTACTATCTAAAATGCAAACAAAATAACAATTAAGGCATAAATACAGATATTGCCACATTGAGTACTAAAAAAATATTACAAGGAATTAAAAACAAAATAAACC